GCCCCCAAGACACCCCCCCCCCAAAATTCAACCCACCTCACTGGGCACCCTTGGGTGCTGCCTCAGTCGCACCCTGACCGGTGAGGCCACCTCATCCGAGGACGTCCCCGAGGGGGGGTCACTTTCCCCATCCGACCCCATCCGCCCCTCATCCGGCCCCGCTTCTGATTGGTTTTTTTGGGGGGGAGGGGGAGGAAGACCCCAAAACATCAGCCACCCCATAACGAGCGACAGCCACCCCCATAAATCAGCCAATCCCAGCTGACGGGGATCCCGAAATCCCAAAGGAGGGGCCCCAAAATTGCAGCCCAGGGACCCCAAAAGCTGCAAAAGGACCCCAACATTGGAACCGTGCGACCCCAAAATCCCACAGGGACCCCAACATTCCAACCCAGGGACCCCAAAATTCAGATCAGAGACCCAAAATCCCATTGGGGAACCCCAAAATTGCAACCCAGGGACACCAAAATCCCATTAAGGACCGCAAATCCCATAGGAACCCATAGAATCCCATAGGGGACCCCAAAATTCCTACCCAGGGACACCAAAATCCCATAGAATCCCATAGGAGACCCCAAAATCCCATAGAGGACCTCAAAATCCCACAGGAGATACAGAATCCCATTGGGGGACCCCAAAATACATACAGGGGACCCCAAAATCCCCTAGGAACCAGAGAATCCCATTGGGGGACCCCAAAATTCACACCAGGGACCCCAAATCCCTTTGGAAACCGTAAATGCCAGTGGGAAATCCCAAAATTCCAACTCAGGGACCCCAAAATTCACGCAGGGGACATTTGGGGACAGCTATGGGATGGGGGGACACGTCTGGGGACATGTAGGGACACCTGAGAACTGACCCGGGATTTGGGGACACATTTGGGGACATCTGGGGACAGATATGGGATTTGGGGACACACTGGGGTCAGATTTGGGGACATTTGGGGTCACAGTGGGGTAGGGGGGCACATTTGGGGACAGATTTGGGATTTGGGGACACATTGGGGTCACATTTGGGGACATTTGGGGACAGCTGGGACGCTGCGGGCACAGATGGTGGCACAGCGGGGAGCTGGGCTCTCTTAAAGGGCCAGGCGCGCCTGAAAGCTCGACCCCATTGATCTTAAAGGGACAGGGACCCTAAAAATGCCAGGTCCGGAACTCTTAAAGGGCCAGAGTTCTCTTAAAGGGCCAGCGCTTCTTAAAGGGACAGCCTCGTTGATGTTAAAGGTACAGATCCGTCTCTTAAAGGGACAGGAACCCATTTAAAAGGACTGCAGCTCCTCAAACCTCAATCCCAGGGCCATATACCTCTCTTAAAGGGCCAGACTCCTTCTTAAAGTGCCAGACCCCCCAGCTTTAAAAAGCCATACTTGACACTTAAAGGGGCAGACACCTCCTTAAAGGGCCAGACTTCTACTTAAAGGACCAGAGCCCCCTTAAAAAGCCATACTCCTCACTTAAAGGGCCAGACACTCTTTAAAGGGGCCACCAACTCCCTTGAAAGGGCCAGACAGTGCCTTAAAGGGCCAGACTCCTCCTTAAAGGGCCAGACATCCCAATAAAGGACCACCAAACCCCCTTAAAGGGCCAGACCTCCCCCTTAAAGGGCCAGACTCACCGCTGTCGCTATTGGGGCCGTCTCGGGTTTCCCCCAGACTCTTTTCGGGGCCGCGCCCCCCCCTCAGCGTCATGGAAAGCTGCCGCTTGATCTTCTTCATCCGGTCCATGGCGCGACCCTATAAGTTGTAGGGTGGGGAAGACACAAAGTTATGGGGTCACTCAACCCCAAACCCCATAAGGAACATCCCCTCGCCCCCCCTTCCCACCCTAAAAAACGAGAGACCCCATAATGCTGAGAGTCAGCCTAAATGGGGGGCGATCCCCTCCCTACACCCCAAAACCTCCATGGGGGCTCTACGGGATCCAAGCCTTTGGGGTCTCTATGGGGTGTAAGGCTTTGGGGTCTCTATGGGGTCCCTATGGGATCCAAGGTTTTGGGGTTTCTATGGGTCCTATGGGGTGTGAGGCTTTGGGGTCTGTATGGGGTCTGTATGGGGTCTTTATCGGACCCAATACTTTGGGGCCTCTATGGGGTCTCTGCGGGGTCTCTATGGGATCTGAGGCTTTGGGGTCTCTATGGGGTCTCTATGAGTATCTGAGGTCTCCATAGAGTCTGAGGATTTTGGGATCTCTATAGGGTCTCTATGTGGACTGAAGGTTTTCAGGGCTCTATGGGGTCTCTATGGGGTCCCTATGGGGTCTGAGGGGGTTTCTTTGGGGTTTCTAGGGGTCTCTATGGGAATTCTGTGGCGTCTCCATGGGATCCGTATGGGATCTGAGGATTCTGGGGTCCCTATGGGGTCTCAATGGTGTCTGAGGGTATGGAGTCCCCATAGGTTCTGTACAGGGTCCCTACAGGATCTCTATAGGGTTTCTATGGGGTCTGAAGGTTTTGGGGTCTCTACGGGGCCCCATAGGGTCTGCGGCTTTGCAGTCCCTATGGGGCCCCCATGGGGTCTCTATGGGGTCCCTATGTGGACTGAAAGTTTTGACGGTCTCTATGGGGGTCATCTTTATTGGAGTCTCTATGGGGTCCCTATGAGGTGCGAGGGTTTGGGGTCTCTACGGCGTCCCTATGGGGTACTCCTCGGGTGTGAAGCTTTGGGGTCTCTATGGGGTCTCTATGGGATCTCTGTGGGATCTCTATGGGCCCCATGAGGTCTGA